TCCCACGCCGACAGAACCAGATGAGAAAGGCGAAAAGAATCGAGGTCATTAGCCACCAACTGAAGACCTTGAACATCCACCTGGTCGGACTTCAGAAATCGAGGCTACCGAGAGGCACGACAAACATGCACGGCTGCCACGTGATCTCGAGCGGCCAAGACAACTACAACGTTGGCTGTTCGCTCCTCGTGAACCTCGACATCCCGCACGCGGAAACTGGCGGCACTAAACACTACTTGCGCCCTAACCACCCCAAGATCCTGCACCAGGACCCGAAGCTCCTCGTCGTGCGCATCACGGCACCAGGCCTCAAGATGACATTCGGGCGATGAAAAGACATATACGTTCTGGACCAACATCAGCAACATACCTCACAAGTTCGGGGTCGACCTCATCATGATCGACGCCAACGCCACAACAAGGAAGCACATCACCGACTCGACAGGCGACTACGGAAAGAGAGCCTCGAGGAGAACGAGGCTGGCACACGCTTACACGAGTTCCTCATCACGTACCACATGACCGCAGTCAACGCTGCTACATACTGCAGAGAACCGACGTACACATGCACCAAGGGTGGCAAAAAGGAACGTATCGACTACGTCGTCATCCCAACAGCCAACCTAAACACGGCAACAGATACTGCAGTCATCGCCGACACCAACATGGTTCAAGAAGGTGAGGACCACCTCCCGGTTGATGAACCGAAAGTATTTCGACGTCGCCCATATTGAACATGCAGCCCCATCTCTGGACCCCAAGAAGATAATCGACACGACGGCCCGCCAGCAGCTCAACAACACACATGTGTACCCTTGGGACTGCGACATCATCGGCCACGCCCACGACCTGAACAAAAGTGTCAGAGAAGCAGCCGAGATAGCCTACAAGTCGGACCCAAGTCGAATACGAAGGCCGTACATCACCAACACGACTTTCGCGCTGATCGGAATGAGGAGGGCATATCAACGGGCATGCCTCCCTATTCTCCTTGTTCTGCCCTCCGCATGCCGACTCGGGCGCACCCTTCACACGCCGCGTGGCTCCATAGGGAACTCCACGGAAGGCCTCAGTGGAATCGACCACATGGCGCGTCCCCCAGCCCATCTCTGCGAAGCCATCACACATGTCGCAGCCTCAGGGGGGGCTCCGCCGAAGGCCTCAGTGGGACCGACCGCATGCGGTCCTCCAGCCCATCACACGTTCCGTAACCCTGTGGGGAGCTCAACAGGAGGCTTCCATAGGACCGACGGTCCGACCGCATGCGGCCCCCCCGACTGGATCTGTCCATCCCTCACACATTCCGTGGCGCCTCAGGGAGCTCCACCAGAGGCCTCAGTGGGACCGACCGCATAGCGTCACACCGACAATTTCGACACACCCACACGTTCCGTAGTCCCATAAAAGGAGCTCCACCGACGGCTCCAGTGCCAAAGTTCGTGTGCGTGCCCGCGCCCATTTCGACACGTGTCGTGACTCCACAGCGGGTTCCACCCGCGGCCCCTGTGAGGGCGCCCGTATGGCGGCGCCGTATCATGTCAGCACACCCCTCAGACGTTTCGTGGCCCTAAAGGGACTTCCACCAAAGGCCCAAGCGAGGTCGTCCGCCTGGCGGCGTCGCCTGTTTTCGGCACACCTCTCAAGCGTTTCGTGGCCCTAAGGGGATCTCCACCAAAGGCTCCAGCGAGGTCGTCCCCCTGGTGGCGCCGCCCATTCCGGCGCAGCCTCACAAGAATCGTGGCCCTATACGGAGCTCCACCTGTGGCCCAACAACAATGTATAATTGTCGGAGGCGTGCTAAGATCTCCGGTAACTACTTAACAATATTTCTAGTTCGCGCGCGCGGGGCGGCCCCTGGGGGCCCCCAGACGAACAGTACCCCGGCCGATCCCCGGCCGGGTCCCGGGCGATCCCCAAGGGGGAGGCTATTTTTCGCCACCCCTCACGGGGATCGTGGCCTCCGAGGGGGTGGCTGCAATCGACTACCCCCCCCTCCCGCCCCAAGGGGCCCCCAAGAGCCCCCTAAGAGGCCCCAGGGGGGCCCAAGACGCCGCCAAGGAGCCCCAAAACGCTCCCAAGAAGCCCCCAAGAGGCCCCCAAGACGGCCCCAAGAGGCCCCAAATAGCGCTCCAGGGCCGGCGGAATGAGCGAAGCGATTAAATAACAGTGTATAATTTTCGGCGCCACCTATTTCAGCGCGCTTCACGAGGATCGTGGCCTCACACGGAAGCTCCCCATGCGGCCTGAGAAGGAGCGTCCGCATGACGGCGCCGTCCATTTCAGCATACCCCTCACGATGACCGTGGCCCCATGGGGAGATCCACTTACGGCCACAGTTGCAGGGTCCGTATCGCGGCGCCGCCCATGCCAGCACACCCTCACGAGGATCGTGGCCCGTAGGACGCTCCGCCTACGGCTCCAGTGGGAGGGCCAGCACGGCGGCGGCGCCCATTGCGGCGCACCCCTCACGAAGATCGTGGCCTTAAATGGGAGCTCCACATACGGCCTCAGCCTCAGTATGACTACCTACCAGACCACCCCAACCCAACCCGAAGACCCGAATTTCGGGTTGGGGGGGGTAAGGGTTCCACATGTGTTTTTTCGATGTTCCCAGACCCCCCCCCACTAGAAATCGAGGGTAAATCTGAGCCTTCGGGTTGGGTTGGGGTGGTTTGGTGGGTGGTGACAGTAGGGAAGATTGAATGGGTGCTTACGCCTGCTTCGGCACACCCCTCACAGGAGCCCAGAAAGTTTGCATTCGTTTCCCCGCGCACTTCCACGTTCCATCACAAGCTTCGCGCCCCGTCGGGAGCTCCCCATACGGCCCCAACTGGAAAGTGCACAAGCGCCTCCCCGCCCAATTCGGCATATCCCTCACACGGGCCGTGCATGGAGAAGTCCATCACACCAACGTTGCATGAAGTTGCCAAGGGTTGGGTCCCTCGCCAGGCTCGTTAATGTTAGAAGGAGAAGGATTTCGACGTGTGCGCGCGCATGTGGCCCGCATGGTATGACTTGACAAGGATTCTGACAAAACGCCCTTGTTAGATCAGCGCGTTTGAACCGCATGGTAGCATTCTACAAGGATGAGCGGGGGGCGATGACGCGTCGGGCGGCATGGTACAACTTCACGCTTGCCAGCGTGCACCCCAAACAGTAAGTAATTGCACTGTGGATGTGTGAGCTGCGTGGTGCCAGATATCAACGTGTGGTGCAAGCTTTGTGGTGCAAACTGTGTGGTGCAAGCTATGTAATGCAAGCTACGTGGTGTCAGCTGCGTGGTGCAAACTATGTGGTGCAAGCTGCGCAGTGCAAGCCACGTAGTGCAACAAATGTAGCGCTGCATCAGCTGCGTACGTGGCGCAAGCGACGCGGCCGCCCAGCGCACGAGGCGGGGATGGACAGAACCCCCTTTAGCAAAACGTGGTTTAGTGAAAACGACCTCGGGCCCAAATCTGGCGGGCGAAAGCCTGGAAACTGACGGCCACGGCGCCCTCTCGAGAACCGAAAACGGACAATTCACTAATCGACGTGTCACTATTGGGGGTTCTGTCCAGCCCCGAACGAGGCGCCCACGAGGCGCCGACGAGGCGCCCACAGGCTGGCTGGCACCAGGCGAAACCTCGAAAGACCCGCCCAGCGCAAGAGGCGCCCACGGGCGGGCGGGCGGCCACGAGCGGCGCCTGTGCTGACACACGGGCCGACACCCAGGCCGACACCCGGGCCAATCTCGGGGAGACGTAGGACCCGGGTACGGGTGACTCGGAAATCCCCGACGAGGTCGTCAAAAAAATGACGAGGCCGAGCCTGCATTTTGACGAGGCCTCCCGCTGCAGACATCCCACGAAACTCCTCCTCGTCAAAATCCGAGTCGCGGTCGTCAAAAAACGATGGCGAACCCGAGTCCCGGCAAACCCGGGTCTTACGCTCCCCCGACAATCCAGGCAGCACACGAGGCGGCGTCAAGGCGGCGGATGGTCGGCGACTGTGAAGGCCGCTCGGAGTGGCCTCCCGTGGGATACAGTCGGACCTAGGACCTAGGACCTAGGACCCAGGACAGAAGAGCATCTACCAAGAACATGAGACCCTCCGCCGGCCAAAACACACCAAACCATAAGATCACTCGAGGGTACCCTCGCCCAGGATGCACAAAAACATCCAACAGGCACGAAGAACATCAGGGTACCCTCCCCGAACCGACCTCGATCCTATACCTCGATCCGGCTGCAAGGTCCCCCGGGCAGGTCCTGCGCCACCATGGCCCGACGTCCGCGCGGGGAACCCTGAGTTCGCCGAGCGCCCTGCGCGGCACCACGCAGTTCTGGCGATGAACTGCCGGCGCCGACGGCGCCTGGGCGAAAACCCAGGAAACCCAGCCAGCACAGGAGGCGGCGACGAGAGCGGCGACGAGGCGGCGGCTGGGCGTAAAAGCACACGGAGCCCAGCCAGCAGAGGCGGGGGGGAGGCGCGGCGGCGGCGGCGGACGGCGGCGACCCGGCGAAGACGCACTGCTTGAGGAAAACTGGCACGGGTCCCAAACCCCCTCGCGTTGTAAAGAAACTGACGACGGGAGGTTTTTCGCTACCTTCGGCCTCGGGACCGTCAAAGAACGACTCAGGATGAAATACCGGTCTGGGGAAGAGGTCCAGACCTCTGGGGGTCGACGTTGCGAAAAAATCACGTCGGGGGTCTGGAGAGGAGCAAAAATGCGGTGATGTACCATCTTCATGGCTCTTGCGGCGGCATAAACCCTAAATGCGCATACGACGCCCACTCTCACGAGCTCCCTGCATTTCTGGTCCCAGGCCCAGTGTCACAAGCACCAACAACAAAGAGCCGACAACAAGACCGCGGGCACACCCTCCTCCTTCACCACCAACTCCGCGACCACCTCCATCTTCGCCTGCATCACCTCCTCATCCTCCTCCACAGCTTGTTCTCCGCTCCGGCCTGCCCTCCTCCCCCCACTCCTCCCGCATCCATCCGTCAGCCCACAGCACCATTCCTTCTTCCGCGCTGACCAGCCGGTCTCCCAGTTCGCGAGATCCGCCGCACAATCGTAGCTGACGCTGCTGGTGGTGCCCCGACTGTGGCACATCAGCTGCTCGTGGGCGCAGCACCACTGCTCCTGACAGAGGAAGGGGAGGGAAAGGAAGAGGAATGTACTGACGGCAACAAGTTCTCATGCCTCTTAGGGTTTTCCACATCATTTAAAATTTCGCCTGCTTGGTTGAACCTTGAAGCAGACAGCCCAGAGGGGCCTCGAGAGGACCCCAAGACGGCCCAAAGCTGGCATCAAAACCGCCCCAGAGAGCACCAAGACGGCCCTGAAAAGTGCCCCAAGAGGTCCCCAAGTCGGCCCAGAGGGGCTCCCAAGACGGCCTCCGAAGATGCCAGACAACCCAAGAGCGCCGTGTGACGGCCGAAGTGAGCCCCAAGATGGCCCGAGAGAGCCCCAGGAGGCCCACAAGAAGGCCCACAAGGCCTAAAGGGCATGGCTTCTCTGCCCAAGATGGATCCGAGAGGGCCTTCTGGATAGCCCTTCCAAGAGGCAGGGGGCGGCGGTGACTTGTCGGAGATGTTTTCGATCATGGGACGATGCCCAGCAGCAACCATGTCCAAACCCAGCAATGGCCGCTGTGGGCGTGGACGCACACAACGTCGACCTACGGCAAACAGAGATCCACTCACTTTCGTTGTGCTCAGGCCACCAGCAAATGACCATATCCACTGCTGCTGGGTCGTGTTCCGAGGACTCGGGGAGCGGCGGATATGGATATCTGCCCGCCGGCGCGGGCGGGATGATATCCACATCCACCGCTCCCCGAGATCCCAGGGCAGGACTCCGAAGCGGTGGATGTGGACATCTTCTGGCGGTGGAGTCAGGCCTCAGACTCTGTGCCCTCCCTGGCGCTCTCGCTCGTGCGACAGCGCTGCCAACGGTCGACCACTTGTGCTTAACGCGTGTCGCCCCGGCGTCCCCGGCGACACGCTATGCCGTGCGAGTGAATAAGTAATTAGCGTGTCTGCGCCACTAGGATATGTCCATATCCACTGCCGCGGGGTCGTACCCCAAGGAATCGAGGAGCGATGGATATGGATATCTGCCCGCCCATGCGGGCGGACAGATATCCATATCCACCACTCCTCGAGATCCCAGGGCACGACTCCGAAGCGGTGGATATGGATATGTTCTGGCGGTGGAGTGTCGCTCCGCTCCGCGGGACGGCAGGCTCGGAAGGCTCGGGACGTCGACGCCCAGAGACCAGGATGTGGACAGCGTGTCGCGCCGAAGCGCGGTGGGCCAGAACTCGCGGAGAGGCACGCCATCCGACAGTTCCCAAGGGTCTGAACTGGTGAGGACCAGGAGACGGGTCAGGAGTAGGGGATGAAGCCAAATCCGCTCAAAATCGCTTCCCGGAGCCCCTCCCACGGTCCATCTGGTGCAATTTCTCACCCTGGATCCGTTTTTTGATTGACCCAGGGTCCGAGAACGGCCCCCGGAGGCCGAAAGAGGCACAAAGATTCCCGAGCCCAAAGCCTCGAACATGCCCGCTTCCTGCTAGCCGGAACCAGTGCTGGGACACCTCAGACCCCCAGATCGTATACACTCTCGCACCATGTTGCGCGCCAGCATATGGGCGGCCTCTCCCCAGACATGCGACGCCCTGATTTGTTCCATACGCGGTCCTCGGAAGTCCCGACCCTTTCCCTGGCATCGGCTGTTCATCCTGAGTCATTGTTTGACGGTCCCGGGGCTCGGCGAGGGCCTCCAGAGACAGAAAACTGCCAAAGAACTCCGTCCTGATCATTTTAAGACGCGAGCGTGTGTGGGTCCCTGCAGCACTGCCGAGCGCTCGCTCCCCGAGCCGCGAGCCACGTCGAAGCCCACAGGGCCGCGCAGCTTCCGGGAGGGTGCGGCGCGGCCGCGTCTCCTCGGAAGCCCCGCCCCGCCCGCCCGCCCACCGCTTGCCGCCGCCCACCGCCGCCCGCCGCCGCCGATCACCGCCGCTCACCGCCGCTCGCCGCCGCCATCGGCGGTGTAGCCTCGGCAAGCGGCGGCGGCGGGCGACCCCGACCGGCGGCGGCGAGCGGACGGCGAGCGGGCAAGCGAGCAGCGGGGGCAACGACGATGGCGCCGCTGGCCGATCGCTCGCTCGCCCGCCGCTCGCTCGGCGGCCGCTCGTTCGCCGCGCCGCGCCATCCTCTCCTGGCCACAGAGGCGGCGCATGCCGCGCCCGTCGCCCCTGCACCCCCCCTCTTTGGCGCGGCGCGCGACTGCCTCTTCCTCCTCCCTCCTCCTCATCCTTCTCCTGCTCCTCCTCCTGCTTCCTCCTCCTCCTCCTACTCCTCCTCCTCCTCCTCCTCCTCCTCCTCCTCCTCCTCCTCCGCTCCTCCTCCGCCTCCTCCTCGTCCTCCTCCTCCTCCTCCTCCTCCTCCTCCTCTCCTCCTCCGCCTCCCTCCTCCCTCCTCCCCTCCTCCCTCCTCCCTCCTCCTCCTCCCTCCTCCCTCCTCCCTTCACCTCCTACCTCCTCCCCTTCTCCCTCCTCCTCCTACCTCCTCCTCCCCCTCCTCCCTCCCCTCCTCCCTCTCTCCCTTGCCTCCTGCCTCCTTCCTGCCTCCTCTTCTTCCTCCTCCTCCTCCTCCTCCTCCTCCTTCTCCTCCTCCTCCTCCTCCTTCCCTTCCTCCTCCTCCTCCTCCTCCTCCTCCTCCTCCTCCGCCTCCTCCCCTCCTCCTCCTCCTCCTCCCTCCTCCTCCTCCTCTCCTCCTCCTCCTCCTCCTCCATCATCATCATCATCATCATCATCATCATCATCATCATCATCATCATCATCATCATCATCATCTCATCATCATCATCATCATCATCATCATCATCATCATCATCATCATCATCATCATCATCATCATCATCATCTCATCATCATCATCATCATCATCATCATCATCATCATCATCATCATCATCATCATCATCACATCATCATCATCATCATCATCATCATCATCATCATCATCATCATCATCATCATCATCATCATCATCATCATCATCATCATCATCATCATCATCATCATCATCATCATCATCATCATCATCATCATCATCATCATCATCACCATCATCATCACCACCACCACCATCATCATCATCATCATCATCACCATCACCATCATCATCATCATCATCATCATCATCATCAGCAGCATCATGGGCATCCTCCGCCTCCGCCTCCTCCTCCGCCTCCGCCTCCGCCTCCTCAGCCTCCTCCTCCTCCTCCTCCTCCTCCTCCTCCTCCGCCGCGGTGGAGGACGACTTGGATATGAAGCTGGCCAACGCCAAGGGCACCGTGCTGGACAACAGCGCGGCTGTCACGGAGGTGGCACAGGACGCGATGAAGAGAATGGGGCTGCCCGAGCGCCTACCCAAGGCGCGGCGGGCGCGGCGGTGCGCGCAAGGCGCCTCCATGCGGCACCTGGGCATCGACTTCCGGTCGGGGCGCCGTGCTCGGCCGCAGCGGGCAGGCCGGTGCGCGCGAAGCGCTGGAGTGGTGCACTCAGCTGGAGCTGTTAGGCGCACTCGGGTGCGCATGGGCAAGGCCCTCATGCGCAAGGCGCTGCGGGCAGTGGCGCAGGTTGCGGGGTGCCGCCGGATCTGGCGCACTGCCATCCTCCCAGCTGCGAAGTGGGGCGGCGAGGTCACGGGCTTCACCGACCTGGAGATTCAGCAGCTGCGGGCCCGCGGCAAGGCCCTGCATGGGCACTCACACGCCAGCCCCAACGTGTTCGGCGCCGTCCTGCCGAAGCTCGACCCGCTGGGCGACCTGGCCTCGATGGGGGTCGTGCGCTACGCGGAGGAGTGGTGGCGCTCGACCGACCGCCGGCAGGCGAACGGGCGCGTCCTCGCGCCCACGGAGCCGCGCGCGGCCTTCGACTGCGCCGCGCGCGATCTGCAGCAGGAGCGACCTGAGGCAGGGCCTGTCGGCGCGATGCTGAGGTCCTTGAAGTGGGCGGGCTGGGTCGCGAAGCACGCGACGGCCTTCGAGTCCCCGAGTTCTGGGGAGATCTCGATTCTGCGTTTCGGGCCCAAGGAGGTGGGCAAGCTTTTCAATCGAGACGTGCTGGCACTGACGTAGGTTAGAGCTCATGCCGTCGTGCGGACTCGCCTGGGTGACGGCGATGGGCCACGAGTGTGGTGGGAGGGCCTTGAAGCCATCATCGGCAAATTCTACGTCGCGCCGCTGACGCGGCACATCCTGGTCTCCACCACGCGCGGGACCTACATGACGAGGAGCCTCGCGCACAACTGGGGCTACCTGGTGCAGCCGTTGTGCCCACACTGCTGGGCGCCCGACACGCCTGCGCATCGCGTCCTGGAGTGCACGCGGTTCTGCGCGGGGCGCTTGGAGCAGAGCGACCGCTGGGACGAGGCGCTCGCTGCGTGCCGCTCCTGCGGCGATGAACAGCTGAGGGACCTGCTGCTGCCACTGAGGCCGCAGTCTGCAGCTCCTCCCCTTTCCTCGATCCTCCGTGCCTTCCGAGGGGATGAGGAAATCCCGATTTCAGATTCCAAATCTGTTCCGAGCGAGCCCGTGGCTGGAGATGGATCGGTTTCAACCTCGCCTCTCGAGTCGTTTCGTCGGGGGGTTTCGGGGTGGTACAGTGGGATCGGGCCACGGGCAAGCTCCAGCGCGTTGTGGGGACACTCCCCCCCGTGCCTGCCCAGACGGCCGTGGCTGCCGAGCACGCGGCGTACGAATCTGGAGAGCGGCTCAGTGATGGCACGTGCAGCTATGCAGGCGACTGTAATGCACTGCTCTCTGTGGGCCGTCTCGGGGTCGTCACAGGCGCAGCACCAAAAGGGCGATTTGCCAGTGGTTGGAGGAGCGCTGCTCGGCAAGATGGGGCGTTTCGGGAGCTCCTCAAGCAGAAGGCCCACGTCGAGGTTTCACAGGGCCCCGAGGCCCCGGCCGAGTGGCGAGCCTGGTTAAACGACCAGGCCGACCAAGCGGCGAAGGTTGCTTGTAAGCTGCATGATGCGCATGGCCCCACCCTTGTTTTCCTGGAAGACCAGTTGGCCCGCGTAAAGAAGTTTATGTGTGCTGCTTCCCGTGTGCTCGAGTCTGGGC